GGGGGGGGGGGGGGGAACACCCTTAAAAATACATGTTAGAATTAAATACAATGATCTGTCAGTTATGGCACACCATACAAAACAGGCATTCCACATTTGGGTCAATTCTCACGCATTCGTGACTTCTGAGAGATGTGTGATATGGCACAGGATGATAATTTTAAACAGAGCAGTTGCAGTAGGTATTCTGAATGGAGTTCAGAACCTGCCCTGACACAGCAGGAGATGAAACATATGAAAGTATACCTTACATATAATGTGCTGTCTAAGCAATGCAATAATTAAACTGTTGGTCACATTCAGTTAGAATGGGTTGGTGGAAAGGAATTGGAAGTGCCTGGATGCAGTTTTGCTGCAAGGCAATTCTAGATTTAATAATGATGTTTGTCACATGTTCAGGTAGTTGGGTCTGAGCCCATCTCTGCAGCTCAGTGTAGTAGGTTCAGGGTCAATTAGCTCCTCACTCAGTCTTTCGGTGTCCTTTTATAGGCTCACCTTCTCTGTTTATTGTCTGTACTCCGCCAGGGCAAGCTCTCTCCCAGCAAGAGTCAATCAGCAAAACCTCTAGCACAGCACAAACGACCCTCACAAGGTCTTCTCCCAGACCACATAGTTGGCCAGAGACTGAGAGTTCAGCAGATTCTGTGCGTATGGTTAAACTCCCAGGAGAATGGCACTCCAGGCAGGATCCTCAAGGACCACTGTGCTGACCCTACAGCTCTTTCCCCCTCGGCTCTCAGCTGTCTGCCTGTCACAGCTCTCATTCCTCTACTTCTGGCTGTCTGCTTATCTTGGCTCTCAGCTCTTGACTGTGCCTGTCCTGGGCTCCTCTCTCTGAGCCCAACTCTCCCATTCTAGTTCCTTCTCTTCCCCTCTGGCTCCTTCCTCCAGGAGCCCTCTTAATTTGTTGGCCCACAGGAAGTTATCTGGATCAGCTGGCCCAGTCCTCCTAGGTAGCCTGTAATCAGGTTTTACTGCCTGCAGCTGGGCTGTAGTCCCTACCAACCTGCAGACTGCCCCCAGGTTCCTTGAGCTGGCAGACTGCTACACTCGGCTTCAGCCCACTTCTCAGAGGGGAAAGTGAACTAATGCACCAGATCAGCACCCTCAACACTTTAAGAAGTCAGACCCAGATCCAAACTTGCCAAACAAAATTAAGTGAATACATACCTAAAACTCAAACAAGGGCTTGCTGAGAAAATAAGTCTTACCTGGAGGGGCTTTTTGAAATGTTGACTGACAGCACCATCTAATATTATTTCAGTAGAACTTAAAAGGCTGGGGCCCAGCATGCCAGACACTGTATAAATACAGCAGAGACAGCCCACTACCTGGGAGGATTCACAATAGCTGAGGCCCCAGCATGGCCCACCATGAGAACCTATGTCCATAAAATATACATATTACAAGAAGCAAGCTGCCACAAAATCGTGAATTACATTGGTTTTTAACAAATCTTCACTGAGGAATGGTAGTTTTCCTTGAATCAGTTGTCTGAATTATTTTGTTTTGTATTCCAAGGGCAGCAAAGGGTGTTCATAAAAAATAACATTGGTTCACTAGTCATGAAGGAATCTACCAATGGCTCCAGTCTCCATGCACAGAACAGGTGAGAAAAAGATGTAGTAGGAGACAGTGTCTCCAAGAAAGATGCACATTAACACAGCAATGGAGCCCTACCTGAATGGGAGAATAAGTTCCAATGTATTCTAGTTACTGCTTATTTGTCATCCACATGGGGCAATCTTCAATGTGTGAATTTAAGATGAAGCTAACCCAACTTCTTCTATTCATGAATAGGATTTAACTTGAACTGTATGTCACAGATTGCTAAAGCAGGTGCAGAGCATTTCATGTTGACAACACAAATCCAACTCTTGTTACAAGCTAAGTTAGTGAAACTAAACAGTGGTGGGTTCAGAAATGGCAACCATCCTCAGATTGCACAATTAGTGATGAGGGCATAGATTTAATGAACAAGGAATGTTTGCTCCCATTAGAGGTAGCCCTTTCATAAGAGGTCAAGCAGCCATTGTCAGGAAGACAACTGTGCTGCTCTAGACAGAGACTGGTCACTTTTGTACTTTGCAGGAGCCTGTAATTCACCTCCATTCTTTAGAAAAACATATTTACAAGCTGTTAGTAAATTCTGAACCAGAGGAAACTGAGTCTCCTAGGTCCCAAAGCTTACCGAGGTCCTTGTGTTGGGAAGACTGGCTTTGGATGACTGAGGGCAGTACTGCAGGAAGCCGTAGTTAGCAGGTATGTGCCATGAAGAGGACAAGATTCTCACACAGATTATTCAGGAGTTTCCCCCAACAAAATAAAACAAATTTTATTGAGAAAACCGACAAAAATCCCCAAGCCAGAAATTACAGGCAGATCCGTACAAGTTCCTCACACCTGTGTCCTGATAACCATTCAACCACCACAATGAGCAGAAAAGGAAGCTAGGCAACCCCAAGGGAATTAAAGGAGCAATAGACAGCCAGGTGTAAAGCAAGTCTCCCCCACCTCATTTACATCAGATAAATCAGAAATCACTGCATCTTAGTGAACAAGGAATCATCAGGAGAGGCCACCTCCAAATATTCTCTTTTCTTTTGTATAAATACAGCAGCTCTGCTACAGGCTTCAGACAGTCTGAATACCTTTGAGGCTCAATCTCAACCTACTGTGGCATCCCTGCTACTCTGTGTTCTAACAGCTTCCAAGCATTTAGAGGGATAAAGCAGACAGGCTTTAGAGGTTTTTCATATAGCTTATAAAAAAAGCAGGATTTTAGACACAGTCTGAGCACTTGCAGGCAGAACTAGCAATACCACTATCCTGGCAGCAGGGATGGGAGGTTGATGAGGAGAAACCAAGCAGCCTAAAAAGACACACAATTTCAAACAGTACAAAAATTCAATGTCCCTGAAGTGCTGAGGCAACAGTGGACAATCCTGCGTTATGACAATCTTTGATTCTGGACCACCCCACCCCAGCACAAATATCAACTTATTTCTAGTCTAAGTTCACAACATTAAAAAAAAAAAACTGCAAAAGCTGCTTTTTCTGAATGGTAAGGAGACCCCAGGGCTAGGGGCACATAACACTCCCAGCCAGGAGGGACAAGGTATAGGGTTGGGGTTTTCCAGGCTACTGAACTTTTTATTCCATGGGAATGCAGACAAGGTGGAAGAACTGTAATAATTCTGTCTAGAAATTGCTGCGGAATACGTTCAGGAAGTGAGCCTACCTGGTCCTCCCAAACTGGCTTGTTTCAGCACAGCACCATGCTAGCAAGAGAAGAATCACAAAAGACTTCCTCCTCTCTGTAGCATAGTTGTTTTCATCAGTTTAAGAAGGTTTCCAAGACAATTCTGCCCTCACCACAAGTTCTCACCAGCTTGGAGACTTACAGAAGGGCATATGACTATTCCCAGTACATTGTACTCCAGGTCATCTACATTCCCCTATCCACTCCTTTGCTAAATGGTATGCAGGGTCTCCCCAAGCACAAAGGGTACACACACCACATACAAGGCTTCACATTCCACTTTGCTACAGCTAAACCAAGCTACTGCTGCCTGTTTTAAAGTCTGGTAACATAAAAGTCCAGCCAGCCTCACACTGCATCAAGTCTAGCCATGTCAGATGAGAAGAGGGGCTCACTGATCTTTACCAAAAACTGAAATTCCCAACCTACCATATTCCCATTCGCACTACAAATATACCTGTGTGAGGCCTCCCATCTTCACACAAAGCTCCTCAGCAACCAAGCTGCTTTTAGGAAACTGCCTCATCATTCCAGAATGAAAAAAGCAAATCCAAGGCAAACAGCCAGTCAGATTGGGCCAAATCCGAACTTGTCCAAGCAAGGCAGGCTTCTCATCTCCAAGCTCCACAATTTATTGCTGAATTATTTAGCTCCCCTTCCTCCACACCCATGTGCCCAATTTCCTCCAGTCATCAGCCAAGGATTCCAGCTCCCACAGGAAGAAACACCAAGGTCTGACAAAGACTATGTCTCAGAGTCCCTGCTAAAACTGCAACCCATGTCACTCTGCAACAAGGTCTGCTAGCACAAGGATATGGTTCCAGCAGGTCAGAGCTTGGGGTCCTACCCCTTCCCCACCTCCAGTTTTAGTGTGGCAGAGAGCAAGCTCAGCAGATTCAAGTGGCTTAGAGTAATGCAATGGTCACAGGCATGATAGGAGACCGAATCAAACCTAGATTATAAAGGAGAACAGGCAGCAGCAAAGGCCAACTGCAACTGTCAAGGAAACATAATTTTTATTTAATCGCTGCCCCCTGAGTCCCTGCACCCATCACACCCTCCCCCAAACCCATATTCCAACAGGACTGAAGACTCCCCCAGCTGTCTCCAGTGCTTATGCTCCCCTCCTCCCACTTTAGGGGGCCAGTTCCTGCAGGAAAGCTCCAGTCAGTGGTATCATCTATAAGATGGCTCTGAAGAGCCATTGTTGGGTTCCAATGGTGTCCAGCAGGGCTCAGGAGGAGGGGAAGGGGAGTTGCCTTCTTACTCAATCAACTTCTTGGCTTTGAAGAAGCGACGCAGGTAGAAAACCTGCCAGGTGGCCAGTCCAATAAGACAGCACATGGAGAAGATGCTGAAGTACAAGACCCTCGTGTTCGTTGACTCTGAAATAGACAATAAACCATTGCAGAAGTACAAAAGACCCAGAGCCAGGAAACCAGCACTTCCTGAGCAAAGAGTCATCTCTAGCACTATACCTTTCCCCACCCTGCCAAGCTTCAAAGGTGGGATTCATGCACGCTGGAGGAGGGTGAGGGGCAGGAAGGAGGGAATAGGGCAAATGGACACTGCAGCACTATCATAAGGGTAAAACTGCTCAATCTGATGGAAGCAGCATTGGACAGGAACACGAGCACTGTGTGGAACATGAGCACACATTAGGGACCAGGAGATGGAGAAAGAAGGAACCTACAGCTAGAGAGGAGAGAACCAGGACTTACTGAACATTCCCTCCAACCTCCCAACTCCAACAATCTTTGGAAGTTTCTGAATAGGGTATGAAATAATTATTAACAGCTGCAGACTGAACTCCAAATTCTGCCCCAATAAGAAAGACCTTGTGAGAAAACAGTTCTGACATCTCCTGTCCTCTTGGGGGGAAGGGGATACATTAATTCTTACCATTGGTGTCCCTCATCTCCTCCTCTCGTTTCTTCATGTAAGCAAAATCATTGACAATGGACTCAGAAAGGTCCTCCAGGCGCCGCAGCTCCACCTCCAGAGGCTTTAGCTTCTCCACTTTAGCAATCTGGTAAAGGAAAATCAGTCACTAGCAAGGAACAATAGCTCCTGTGTGGGCTACTCCTGAAATCAATCTGAGCACATTTCAAGTCACATATGAGGGCAGGGGGGAAAGAGGGGAGAAAGAGGTGGGGGCTTCTCTCCCTGAAGAAGATGTCCCTCAAAGGCCAGAAAACACCTCACCACCCCCTGTGAAATATCAAACATTTGTTCCTCACAGCAAGAACAATGCAGGCATATACACGTGTGCTTATGCACGCTCCTTCCTGATTCCCCCCAATTCTAGTCTATTCATAACTGATTTCTGAGGCGTGGGCTGCCAGAGTCTCCCACGGACCTGAACCTCCAAGAAAGAAAAACATGAAAAGACCAAGCTGCAGGTGCCTGTAAGTGATGGTGTAATACCAGCAAGGCAAGCCTTTGCACCCCAGGCTTGAGAATTTTTTAAAAAACAATGCAGGAAATTCAATCAGAAAGCCCACACTGTTACTACAAACATCCAAGCTTAAAAGTGTCTGAACACAATGAATTAATTTCTTCTTTCCAGAAGAGATATGACCTGACTACACTGTACCTCAACCTACAGTGTAAGAATGGCACTGTAATGCAACAGAAGCTACTGAGAAGCAGATTGCAATTCTTGCCTTTACTATGCTTAAAATCTCCTCACACCGTGGCAGCAACATGTATATGTGGTGAATTTCACACAGCAATACAAGCGACACTGAGTGAAGGAGCACCACCATTTATTCCCTGGGGCTACCACATTGGAAAGACTCAAATAAGGAGGCATGAAACACAATTAATTCTGAAAGGACAGAGACAGAGGAACCCCATGCACTGGTCACTGTCTGGCCCAAGACTGGGCAGTGTCTCTGGCACAGCAGCAAAATTACTTCCAGAAACAAACACAAGACAGGTGATACAGTTGCAGCTGTTCACACTGCAGCCAGCAGGAGCAGCTTAAACACCAGACAGTCTAGCACAATGGTTTTCAACCTGTGGTCTGCAGACCCCATAGGGGTCCAGAGACTATGTCTAAGGGGTCCGCAAAAGATGACTATGATCAATCCAAAGTATGTGAATACTCATACTTACAATTTAAAGGGGTCTGCAAATGAAAAAAGGTTGAAAACCACTGCTCTAGGAACACTGGCCCTCTGAGGCAGACTGAGCAAAAAGCAAATGGGTTTACAGAAGCGTTCAGAATTGGGACACCATGAACTAGCCAAGCAGTTCTTTGAAGAGCAGGGGCAGGCAATTATTTTGGGCAGAGGGCCACTTACTGAGTTTTGGCAAGCCATCGAGGGCCACATGACAGGCAGCCCAGGACAGATTAATATTAATTTTCTAAATTTTTTAGGGGCCCCATGGGCCAGATAGAATGGCTTGGCGGGCTACATCCGACCCATGAGCTGCATTTTGCCCACTCCCGGTGAAGAGCTTTATGCATGGCATACCCAACCCTGCAAACAGCAGGCCTGCGGGAGCTATCCAAGGAATTCCGTGGCCAAATCCCTGCTGAGGAAAAAAGCCCAGACATTAACAAGATGCTATTTTTCCCATATCCAGAATGAATGGATGGGAAGACTCCACCAGGGAACAGCCTGCACTTGTCCCAGGTCCAGACCTTCACACCCCTTTGTCCAAGGTTAATAGGCAAAGTTAAAGGGAAACCTGTTAATCTCCCTCTAAGAGTTTGCAGTGAAAAAATGACACAGGAGCAAGTTCCTACTAGCCATATGCTGCATGGTGGTGTCAGCAACCAGGGCTCACTCGACACTGGAATAAGCCACGTTAATACCAGCTGCTTTTTACACTGCTGCAGCACATGTATGATAGGGGCTGGCAACACAGCAACTCCCCACACCTGCTACCAAACCACTGCCAAATTCACTCTCATCCCTCACCTAGAAATGGATATTTAACCACTCTTCTTTGGGGTAAGAGCCAAGATGGAATTCAGAGTCAGGGGGGCTGGCTGCCAAGGATGTTCTAGAAAGGCTTCACCTAGCAGCATGTCTCTACATGAGAAGGAGCATGGCCCTTGATGCTTTGAGCCAAGCTCTATGCAATGCACAGGCTGCGCACTAGAGGGCAGTCCTTCCTCAGGCAGCTGACATCAATCCTCCTTGTGCAGTCAATTGCTGGAGGCAATGTGCAGTGCCAAGGAAGTCCCTCTCATGCAAACAGGGCCCTAAGAACTTGCATGGGTACTGGGCTTTCAGCTCCTTAGCTGACCCTGGTCCTAAGCCTGGGAGTGGCTTCACCAAGGCATGTAAGTGGGTCAATCAGAGCTTCCTACATCTCACAGCCCCATCTTCAAACTGTACAGGAACTCTGCTTCAGAGTCTGTTCTGTCAGACTGTAGTGGGGCCAGGTGAGGAGTCTGTACTAAGTAAATACAGGGCTGCTTAGGCTAGTATAGAAGATCAAGCTCCTTCCAGCACAGGAGCAAGTTATAGTGGTATAAGCACATTTACATCAGCATAGCTACGACCTCACTGGGCGCTGTATGTTTTTAACAGTCCCATTCCTTTAAAGAGGGTGTGTGCATGTATGTGTGTGTACATACGTACAACACCTTAATTTCATCCTAATCCTCCTGGTTAATTTCTCCCAGGTGTCAACCAAATGAACTCATCATGTCTCCCTCAGGCCCATGCCCATGCCATTAGCTACTCCCCAATCAGTGCTTGCTCTTCTGAGCCCTTAATTTGTCAGCAGCCTGAAAGTGGTTGCCCACAACTGAATGCAGTGCCCCAGGCATGGTCAGCCCAGGGTTGTAAAGGGTCTGTCCTCTCCTTGCTCCAGCAGACATACGTTCTATGTACTTACCTCAGGGTAGCACTAACCCTACCCGCCACCACATTATTTTGCATATTCCTACCTGCTTTGCAGCCTTTTTTCCCTGAGCCACTCTGGTTTCCTATCTGGTGCATACCTGTTACTGCCAATGAACATATCCAAGAGCCTTCCCCACCTTAGAGCTCTGATCTTCCCAGGCACCAATACCACTGAAGGTCAAATGCCACAAAGCTCAAGTCTGCTTGTTAACACGAGTCATCAAAACCCATAGGCCAAACCATCCAGAGACTCCCAACCACAAGGCAACTGATATCCCAAGCCCAGGCCCAACAGAAAGGGTCCTGGGTAAAGCTGGAAGCTAGGCCTCAAAGGGTCTGACAGATTCAGCTCACACAGTGTCAAAACAAACAGGACCAAGTTTTAGCTGTCCTAAGTATGAGACACTGAAATTGTCCCTGGACCCCTCACAGGTCAGTGCCTTTTGTAATCCTGCTTCATATCTAGGAGGACTAGCCCCCTTCTTGAGTTGTCCTAGGTTTCTGGGACAGAGAAAGCTATTGGTCTCAGCTGCTGACTGTTTCTTAATACACACATCCAGAAGCCAAGTCAAGCTGCCTGACTTAAGAAATTCACACACTGGGACTCGGCCCCCGCAGAATTTGAGTAGCAGGTTTTTTAAAGCTCTACCATGAGGCTCGTATGGAAGCTCTGGGCTGCAGACAGGCTGTCATCACAGCTGGGAAAGCAGCTTCCCATCACAAGCCCCAGATCTGTCCTGGCATCACGTGAGTGCTAGGAAAGGGACATACCTCCTCGTAGTTCTTTGCTTCCACTCCATGCTTCATGTCCAGGATCACAAGCTGGTCCGGCATCCGCCCCGTTCCTGGAAGTGCAATGAAAGGATTCCATTGTATGGAGTTCTGCCTGCCAGGAAATCACCAGCTCCCCCACTGGGGAGGGACTCAACACCCCTCCCTTATGCACCTCCGACCAGCTGCACAGCCCTGCCTCAAGTCACAGACACTTATGAACAAACCCTGGCTGAGGGAGGATCTCCCAGAGATAATGCAAGTAAGCTGTAGCCAAAACCACAAAGTAGCAGGATACAAACCACTGCAAGGGGAAAAGAAGAACAAGCTATGACAGGTACAAACTGCCCAGAGGGAAGTCATCACAGGAACAGATACTGGACTGAGGAAACACTCTCTTGCCTAGTACAAGCCACATAAGCAAGCTGCCAGAATCTAAGGTCACAGCTAATTTTGCATATGACACAGCAAAAGCAGCCCCCTCTTCCATTCAATGATGCAGCTAGTCTACAGTGCAGCCTGCAGAAGTGACTGCAAACAGTTCATCAGTGCATCTACCTTGGCTACACTTGTGGCACAAACTATTAAGCATACGACCTTCTACGACCAGGTCACCAAATCCTTAGATGCAGGGGTAGCAGTGGACATAGTCTTTCTGGACTTTCGGAAGGCCTTCGACACTGTCTCTCACCCCGTTCTCATTAAGAAACTGGGGGACTGGTGTCAACACCCACACAGTCAAATAGGTCGCCAACTGGCTGGAGGGCCGCACCCAGAGAGTGGTGGTGGATGGGTCATTTTCGACTTGGAGGGCAGCACGGTTCCGCAGGGCTCAGTCCTCGGGCCCGCACTGTTCAACATCTTCATCAGTGACTTGGACGAGGGGGTAAAAAGCACCCTGTTCAAATCTGCTGATGACACTAAGATGTGGGGGGTTGTGGGCACACTAGAAAGGAGGAATAGGCTGCAATTGGACCTAGACAGGTTACAGGGGTGGGCGGATGAGAATAGGATGGGATTCAACACTGACAAGTGCAAGGTGATGCACCTGGGGTGGAACAACCGGCACCATACCTACAGGTTGGGGAACTCCTTTCTCATCAGTAGAGTCAGAAAAGGATCTTGGAGTCATCAATGATGCCAAGATGAACATGGGCCGGCAGTGTGGGGACGCAGTCAGGAAGGCCAACCACACTTTGTCATGCATCCACAGATGCATCTCAAGCAGGTCCAAGGAGGTGATCCTCCCCCTCTATGCGGCACTGGTCAGGCCGC